TAAACGATTAATATACTTCATTATACTTTTAATTAATTGCGCCCGGGTACGCACGGGTTGTTACGTCAGACCCGTACTATAACTATAACTTATCTTATCTGAAACTGAATGGTAACAAGTAATTTCTAGATGAGTTACATTTGAGGCATAAGCTGGTTTATTCTTTCCGCATATTATTTTTACAAATTTTTCCAATCGAAAACGATTCTTCACATTATAACCATACCTCCGGTTATTTCCCTTCAGCTCTATATGTTTCCATAAAATAGGAGCACTGCATCTGTACCACAATCGGGAAACATATAGAGCGGGATAGAGGGATTTATCTATCGCTGAAAAATGTAAAATCTGTTCTAATAGTTCTGGTATAATAAAAATGCTTGTATGCGCCATTAATAGTCTGTATTATATGTTGTATCTTTAATCGAAAAAATAAATTAGCCGAGCTGGTAGTGGTCCGAAAAAACTGGATTCGAATCAGATCCGCCAGATGGAAAAGTAAAACAGGTGTTCCCTCGCCTGCTCTCGAGACATTGGATCACTTCGGATCGAATCAAATTCGGATCACTACCGGTTAGTATCTGCAATTTCAGATAAAGTGGAACATCTAATTTAACTAAAATTTCATATAACCTATTTAGAGGATCCGAAGGTTCCATATGGGCAAACTGGATCTTTGCCTCTTGATTGAGGCCTCTGAAGAAACCTTTTTTCATCTCTGCTTTACGTAAGTCCAGACCTGATAATGAGGTGTATTCCTTATATTCCTTTTATACGCCTCAAAAATTTCATTTAGTAATTGGTTATCTTGAACCGGTGCTGGGCTATCTTTACCTTTTTCAGGTTCCAATGCCGGAGAAGTTGGAGGGAATTTTTGATCCAGCCAATTAAGCGTGTCTCTTCCTTCGTGGTGGCTACCTATTTTCATAATGGGTTAGTTTTTATAGTTACTGTATTTTTAATCGAAGAAATAAATTGGCGGTAGATCACTACTCCGGACTAAGCCTTTCTACTATCTAATCTAACGCAAGCTCCTGTAAACCATTCATAAGTACTTTTGTCTTATTCTCAGGTGATAGACCTACGAGAAATAGATTCTTAAGAAGCCATTCAGGATAGTCTTTGCTTAAATTACACTCTTGTAATTTCGAATAGATTGCTTTACTGTATAATTACCTTGAGGCAATCCCCACATTTGAAATTTCATTCTTTCTGACAATACATGATTCGCCTCACTTTTCCATATATTATTTATACTGCAAAGGTTTTTTAGGTCCTGTTCTAGAAGATACTTTAGAATGGATGGTAATAGTTCAGGCGGAAGAAGTTCAAGTAAATTAGCTGTATGCATTTTATATGGTTGGAATATATTCAATCAGAAAAAATCTTCCGAACTGATGATCATAGCTCCGGACTGGGATCGGACTCTCAGATATTCACACAGCTCGGAATAATCGAACACACTGGGACTTGGACTATTAGCCATCATTGTAATTTTTTTGCACAAACTCTAGCTCTCGTGCTAATCTATCCAATGTCAATTTAAGCCCAATTATATATGCCCAATTATATATGCCTCTTGCTTGTCTTCAGGTTTAACGTCATTTTGGAAAACCTTTTTTATATTTTTACTTGTACTATCTATAATGTCCTCTAGACCAGTTATTTCGGTTGCCATTTTAGTGATTTATTCTATAACTGAATATTTATTATGCCAAAAAAAAATCTAATAATTATGTAAATACTGTGATTTGCCTCCTCCGACTTGCATATATGCATCATATCACTAATCTAGTCATGGCAGTGACTCAGACTCTGTGATTTCGGTTGCAGAGTAGACAAGTGAGGCGCACGTTTCCCTTGATATGCCCCAAACTATTGTGGATTCGATCCACTGATATATCTCCTGGTCGATCCCATTCGAATTTCATTTCTATAAGACATAATACGCATCTGTCTTCTTGAATTCGTTTTAATGTGAGAATATAGTCGACTGTTAGATCGAATTCACGACCTTTTTCCTTGTCCTGGCCCATATATCCGATAAGTTTTTCCTGAATAGATGGTCTCAATTCGTGCTCTAGCCGTCTATTCTTTTTTGCCTCCTCAATCTCTTGGGCAATTTCAGGAGGTAATGGAGGCGTCTCAACCCGAATGAGTTGGCTCAAATATTCCACACGACCAACTGCTAAATATATTAGGTTATCCCAAGCTAGGTTTTCATCAATGACCCAAACACTCTGTGGAGCTTTAAGGGTCATTCCTTGACTAGTGTGAATAGTCATAGCATATCCAAGTTCCCAATATATGACTTTTTTATCTGTCAACATATCTTTTAAGAATTTGTCAGGGAGTGTATTTAAGGGCAAATGTATTATATCATTTTTCACTAATTCCTTTTTTTCGGATCGGAACAAGACAATTTTGCTTGTGTCCATCTTTTGGCCTATAGATTAATGGGATACGGCACATTGGGATACTTTTCTCGATGAAGTTTTAAGCATCTTTGGGAAGCAATTCTTCGAGAAAGTAGATGTGCTGATAAGATACGATCTGATGGCTTCCATTCAGCTCCAAGATATTCCCATTTTTCTGTGACTGGAAGTGCTTCACAGAATAGGTCTGACTGCATTCTATTATTTTGCCATCGCATTTTTTTCTTAAGCTCTTGTAATCTAGGGCATTTGGCCCGATAATCAGTTAAGACTTCCTCATAGTAATCAGATCATTCTTTTAACTAGTCATGAGGCATTTCTCCGAAGAATGGTGAAGGCTGAGCATCATCCCCACAACAGATTACCTGGCATTTTTGTTTTGACAAATAGTTAATAAACATTTCAAGAATATGCCTAGGCACTGTATACACTTCATCCCAGATAACGACTTGTGGAAATTTCTTTTCTCCCATACGTTCAGGAGTTCACTCTCCTACACCATTCCACCTAAAGAAGCTATACCAGGTTTGAGCTTTTACCTTACGGTCATTTTGGAAGTCTTTAGCCAGTGCATTCATATGAGTAAAGACTATCATGTTTATATCTTTAAAGATTCAAATTGCATGTGTTGTCTTCCCAGAACCACCGTCTCTATTGAGATATAAAATTCAGGATCTTGTAATAGGATTACGAATTGATGGAGCAGTACTCTCAGTAATATTTTTAATCGATTCCCAATGCCTATTTTTTGGCCAGTATACAACATTAGAATCTGGTCCATGAATCTTCTTACCTTTATCGCACCATTGGCCAGGCTGAATTTCTTGAATCTTGTCATCTTTTAGTAGCTCAGACTCTTTGGTAACGACTTTACTAGGTTTGGTATTTTTCTGAGAACCTAAGTAAAAGTACCATTCCCCAAAACAACAGCATATACGAATGGCTTATGCTCGTTACATGACAAATAACCTGTTATTCTGTTCATGTAGTAAACTTTCACTTCTTTGACAAATTCTTTGGCTGCTTTTTTTGAATAAAAGACTCCTGCTTCACACATTGCACAAGAAGGAATTTTATGTGAACATTGAAACTTACTGGTATCTGCCCCTTCTTTGTGATTGAGGAGGCACTTAGCTTGCTTAAAGAAGGCAGATACATTTTCAATCTTATATAAAGCCTCTCTTCATATATATATAGAATCTGTTGTGATTCTTACCACTTTATTAGGGCCAAATCTTCAGAGCATTTCTAGCAAGTTTATATGGGCATATGCCAGCATTGAGGCCCACAAATATGTATATTGGGGCTGGTGATCCTCATAATACATAAGTATATACCCAAACAGATATTTATCACTACTGGTATATGTTCCCTTTTTAATACAATCCTGGATTAAGAAATCGAGCTCACCTTCATCTATTACAACTCAATGAGTCAGGTGCTTTTTTCTTTGACCTTATTTCTCTATATGAACTTTCTTATGATTGTACAACTAATATCCTGATTTTTAGGCAACTATACCTTTGTCTGCTTGATAAGAGAAATAATAGCTTCGCCTATAAATACACTTTTCAGAATACTTTCTTCAAGAAGATATCGTAGAAGTACAATAGGTGTCCAACCTTTTGTCTTCTCACATCCTTCTTTACTTCAACAGGCAAAGTGTTTTCTATACCAAAAAGGAATTGCTGAATGAATATTAGAAACAAATCTAAAAGACCTTATCTGCGCAAATCCTATAATATCATCAAATAGCAATTCTCTGTTCACTGCTACTTAGACAAGATGGTGTGTTGGATGCCCAAACCACTTAAACCATAGTGAATATTCTCCTTGGCCATACATACTTGCTGGATAGTATTTCTTCATGTCTATATATATAACATTTTCGACTTGATAATTGGGCACATTTCAGTGTCCTCCATACCCATGTTCAACACAAAATTACTTTATATTTTCATATACTCTAGCCGAAGTAGGATGCCAATCAATGATCTCATTGGCAAGTTTGCCTCCAGCATGATTAGCACCAAATACCTGTTCTGCTAACTCAACTATTTTAAGCGATTCTAAGGACTCCTGCTTTCTTTTTTCACTAATTATTCCTTTCTAAAATTGCTAGTTTACCGCATCCTTAAATAATTTCTTGCATGTTTTTACGATGTCTGTATGCTTCATCCATATTTTAAATATATAACTATCTTCTAGAACAAATTGGGATATTGATTAGATTTTTTTTAATAAGTCATCTTTTTCAAATCCAAGTCCGATAAGTTATATTGCTTGTGGATCTTGTAGAACTTCATTAATAGCCTTTCATGTATTATCATTATAATATTCTACCATTCGATCTCTTGAAAAATGATAGTTTTTAGGGAATGCATGGCTATTGTAAACTACTATCTATATCTTTTTAAACCTATCTGCTCAATATTTTTCACTATTAAAAATGGTCTCATAAGTAATATCAAGCAATTTAATTGGCCTCTTAAGTATTTTTTCCAATTCTGCTACATCTTCTACTTGAGCACCAGGTTGGTGCATTCTTTTTTCCCATATACTAATTTTTGTTTACGTATACTAATAAGCCCATACCCTTTTTTTGCTTTTTCAAAATGTTTTATTACATGCTAAGCCACACAATTAAATGCACCATCTTTCATTGGCATTAATCGATACAACCCATATACAACTGCATTTGTATCAAGTTCTTTATATTCTGATAATTTTCACCTTAAATGATCCTAACTAATAATTTCTCGTCAATTCCTACCCAGAAACCTGGCTTTGTTTTCTTTGTAAAGATAATATTTAGACCTTCTAGAACAAATTTCTTACCAGCTCTCTTTGATTCTCGAATAGGCTGATATTTATCAATAATTTTAAATATATAGTTATGTCTTTTACTATAGGAAGAATCATCTTTAGCAAATTTTACTCTTATAAGAACCTATCATCATCTATTGCATCTAAAATTTTTTTAGCATGCTTTTTAGTCATTCTAGCTTCATATATTTCTGCTATCTCAAAATGTTCTTCTATAAATGCTATCCATTTTGGACTTTTTTGTCTTCTGCCTTGTATTCCTGTATTAATGACTCAATCTTTTCTGAAATCACTTTTTCATTGCTCAAACCCCATTGTAAATATATCTCTTTTGCTTTTTTTGCTACTTCTTTTCACTTTTAGCAGTTAATAATATATTTATGAAGTCTTTTTTCAGAATATCTGCAAACCAGATCGAAAATATATATTCAGCACCATCTACTTTAAACATGTCTTTTGCTGTCTGAATTCCCTTTTGCCATACTTCCTGATGCTCTTTATTATCTGGAAATTGAACCAGCCAGAGTATTTTTTTATCTAAATTTTTAAGATCTTCTTCAGAATCATCTCTTTGTCCTTTTCTGTATGCTTGAGTAATCAGACCAGGTCCTGCTTCAGAATCCTCCTCTATTAGTTGAGATACTTTGGTTTTCTTTTGCTGTTTATTAGAAGACTTTCTTTTAGCTTGGCGTTTTATTAAATCAAACTATTCTTTATCCGTTTTTAGAACCTTTTTACTAATAATGGCTAGGTTATTTTTTATCTTAGGATTTGTAAAACAGTTAGCCAAATTCTCTATAGATAAATACATTGCTTGGCCTTTTTTAGACCCTTCCTTTTCATGAATATGAACTACAGGAGATGGAGGATTAGATGTTAGTGATTGAGGACTGAATATATTAGGGTTAGGTGGCTGAATCAAATTAGGTATTTGGGTTAAGTTTGCTTATACTTAAACTTTCTGTTAAGATGGTTTGTTAAATCACAAGTTTTTTTAAAGTCATTCTTTCCACATCAAGGATATTGAAGTACTATTTTTGATAGTAAGTGAATCAATTCAGTTGTTTGTATTAATAGTATGAAAACTTTTGTTTAAAAAATAATTAATTATTCCTCTTTGATCTGTCAATTAGCAGGTGATAGTCTGACAGTATATTTTGTTAGGTTTTTTTGAATTTATAGCCTCGTTTGCTTTGCAAATACTACAAAAAAGATTTCGAGATCAGTTAGTCTATTCTGGCTTGTTAGTATTCATCCTGAAGTTCTTTGAACAAGAGGGCAGGATAGGGCTATAGTTACTAGACAGGAGATTTGGTATACTAATCTTTTTCGAAAAAATTTATATCTATCTCTAGTGTCTTGTTGTTCAACCTTGCTAGATTCTCTTTTTTTTTTTACATCTAGAAGTAAGATTTAGAAGTAAGACTTAAAGGACCGAAAGTGTTTTGTATAAGACTTAGTGGTAGAACATATCATTTTATAACATTAGCATTTATATTTATATATAGTATATATTAGAATAGAGTAGCATATGGATCGAATGTCAGCTCATACTTATTCTTTCTTACTACCTAAACAGTATGCTATTAGGAGGCATTTTTTTATACCTATAGGTGAGACTTAAAGGTTAGACTTAGCTAAATGATTTTTTTTTACACCTATCTCAAAAAAATTACACCTATCCTCCAGATAAAAATAATTTGGTCTGCATATAGAATTACAATCAGAAAAGTATATAAATACAAGAAAACATATTAGTACTTTTGATGAATGAAAAGAGCTAGGAGTGCATAATCTAGGTGTAAATTTTTATTATGACAAATTATAATTGGAAAGGCATGCAAAGGCAAGAAAACAAATTGATAATTTTGATAAGTAAGAGGGCTAGAGTATATTATTTGTCAACTATTATTTTTAAAGTTTCTAGGTGAAAATAACTTGATCTGCACATACTTTCTACTAGGTGTAAATTTTTATTATATCAGAATTATAATCAGGTAAGTATGCAAAGGTAAGAAAACAAATTAGTGATTTTATTAAGTAAGAGAGGCTAAAATATATTTTAAGAATACAAATAATTTTTTTTTTTTTTTTTTTTTGCTTTTAAAATATTGCAGAAGAGCGAATTTTTATTAGGTATATTAGCAGTATATTCTTGGCTAATGAGAGTATATTCAAGCCATACTTGCGCCTTTTAAGTGCCTAATTAAATAGCTACCTATTACTAGAGTCTACACTAGATGCTATACCTATAACCCACTATTACTTGAGCTATCCAATTAAACTCTCTGGTGTCTCCCATACTGCACTACCACCTTAATTACGCCAATTCGTAATCTCGTATTGCTTCATTGAAGACCACTCAGATCGACAAATGCTACACTACTTGTGCTCTAATTCAACAGATAACCCAGTAGGATTCTCATACTTACCGGGTTACTCTAGGGAAGGTATAGTATATATGCACCTAATCTTTCTATATCCTACACATTTTCAGACTAGGCCTTTTTGATAACTTACGCTGAATCTGAAGACAAGTACTTGCGAGCTGAGGCCACTATAGTTACCTACTACTGCCCTTGTAGAGTTCATCCAAACCCCAGTACCTATTTTACAGACTCTCTCATATAATTCCGAAAACCCAAACTCTCAATCCGATGGTCTGGAAGGGTGAAATCTTTCTTCCGATTATCCAACGGCCTGGTTAGTATAGTGTCTTGCCAAACACCTCAGTCCTGTCTGGTTTTCCGATATCTGGTTGATTATCCTTTACATAGTAACCATTAAAGATCTGTGCTATCTTTCTACTTGGGTCTTGCCAAGCAGGCTTCTGTATCCTGTAAATTCACTAAATTTATCTGGTAGCTTCACTTAAGTTTTGTGTAACTTGTATATCACACTACATGTTCTACTACCTCTCAGTACTAGCTGATACGACCACCATTACAAGTTCTATAACCTAATAAGATACAGTCTTCCAAATATATTTTCTATCCTTAAATTGTAACACAAGCAAATTTGTCTGCGTTTATTTTTTTAAACTTTATTTTTTTTAATAAAATTTCAAATATTAATTTTAGCAATATACTTTCTAATTAAAAAAGACTTTTAAAGATCTACTTTA